CACTATAATTCTTTTTAAATAATAATCATTTCCCATACAATTTAATTAATAAAATATTCAAAATTTAGAATAAATAACTTTTTTTTAATTATATCAGACATGTATATTAATGTCAATTTTTTCTTGATCTATGATGTATTCTAAACACATTTTGTTCTCTATTTAGGCCTCACACCTTTGTTCTTCAATCATTTTACTTAAGATATGTGGTAAAGATAATATGTTATTATTCTCTAAAATATCATGTCCCACTATATCAGAATCAACATAGTTTAAAGGCTTTTTTTTAAGTGATTTTTTTTTCACAGAAGAACTAAATATAATGCTTACCTATAGTGTTAAAATATTTTGTTACAGATTTCATATCAAATGATAGTTGTATTTTAAACAAAAGTAATGATCTTGATACTGGGAATTCTTCAAGTTCATCAATGTCAGCAAATGTGATGATCAAAAAAAGAAAAAGAAAACATCATAAAAATAAAAATACTGATGGTAGAGTATATATATATTATAGCATATAATTAATATAYATTATGTATTTATTGTTATTTTTTCATTATAATATTGTGAAGGAATAGATCATGTTTGGAGAGTAAAAGCATCAACATCAACAACTAAGTCAAAAAATAAGAATATTTATAAAAAATACAAACCAACCAAGGGTAAGAATATTTATTGATCATGAATATAATACTGATTATATACTAATTGATATGTGTAGGTGATAATTACTTAAACATTTAGAACTCTTGGAAAACTGCTAAAAAGCTTGTAAGAGTATGTACTATATGGATTCTAATAAATAAAATAAAATGAAATAAATGAGATTTGATTTCTAAAATTTGAATATTAATCCTTCTGATACTATTTAAAACCATAAATTATATTTTTTGTATATTTTATGATTTTATAGTCATACATTTTATTCTATAACTTATATCTACAGAATAGTTTTAGTTCAAACCAAAGAATGATACTGAAACTTCTAGTTCTTTATGTCTAACAATTAAACCAGTAGTTTTATCAATTAAAAATAAGAAAGTTAAAGATCATAAAAAATAAATACTGATGTTAGGGCTAAACAATAATTATTTCATATAAATTAATAATGTTTAATAGGAGAAGACAATGTTCGAAAAGTTAAAGTTTCAAAATCAACAAATGAGTCAAAAAATAAGAATATTTATGAAAAATACAAACCAACCAAGGGTAAATATTATTTATTGATAGTGACTATAATACTGGTTTTATACTATTTTATTATATAATTTATAGGTCTAGCAGTTAGTTACATAAAAAAAACAAACCTATATACAAAACTTCTTAAAAGCAAATCTAAGGATCTATGTATAAATTCTGATGATAATGATATGGTTGTTACAAACAATGCAAAAGGTGTCTTATCTTTTTAAATTTTACTATTTTATCTAATTAAATAAATGGGCTTTAATTTTTAATTTATCTGCTATCATTTCAGTATATGCATTTTTTTTTTTTTTTTTGCAATGAATTTTAAAGTAATAATTTAATTTTAGTAATACCTAATTTACATAATTCCTATTATTACTCTACAAAAAAATTATCTAGTTAAATTTAAAACGATCATATAATATTTTGTTTTAGATCTTACTTCTAACAATAGCTTTGATTTAAACCAAATTGATGATTACGAAACTGGCTGTTCTTCAAGCTCGTCAACATATGTGCCTAATGAAAAAAATAAATTTAATGATCGTAAAAGTGAAAATTCTGATGGTACTAGTTATTTATTTTTTTACTATTATATTTATATTTATTTATGTATGTATACATTTTTAAAAGGTCATATTCATAAAATAAAAGAATATCCAACAACACCAATAACCCACCTAAATATTCAAAATATTTATAACAAAAACAAAGCTACTAAGGGTAATATTTTTTTTTTTTGTTTATGTTCAGGGTAATGAAAAGTTTTACCACAGATTTTATAACACTGGTGCACTTCTGCTCATTTATCTTTATCAATATCATAGGATCACACATGAAGAATTGTATTGTACATTACTATATTTAAAAATGTTACTGTTAATAATATGACAATGGTTAGAAATTTGTCGTAAGTTCTTTAAGTATCTTTGATGCATAGTTAATAATCAACAATTTTTCATAAAAACGGTTTTTACTATAAGTGGTGATAATGATTTGGGATAGGCTTTGATTTGTTTACATTTTTGAAAATTATTTGRCTTAAATAAGAAGTGCATCATTGTCTGGTTTAATATAATCTGTGGTTATTACATTGATTTAAAGTATAAAAATGTATTGTTTTAGTAGTTGATAAATTAAAAAAATCACAATTATATGAAAAATATACTAAAAGCAAGTCCAAGGAATTGAAAATTAATGCTGATAAATATAATTATTTTGATACAGGCTATAATCAAGGTAAGTAACCTTTCTTAGTTTTTTCCGATATTATTACATAAAACTTGCTTAGTTAAATAATATGTCTTGTATTACATTAATTTTTAATATTCAGTTACTGCTTACTATTATTTATTTTATTTTGTTAAATATTTTTATTTCAGATATTGCAACTGATACCTCTCCTGTAAACGAAAACCATCGATCTGAAGTTTGTGGTATTTCAAGGTCATCAACATCAACTAAAGTGACAAATAAAAAAAAGAAAATTAAAGAAAATAAATCAGAAATTACTGATGGTAGTGGTGTTAATTGATTATATCTTATGTTATATAAGCTAATTAATTATGATTTTAGGAGAAGATAATTTTTGGAGACCAAAAGCATCTTCATCAACAATAAAGTCAAATGATAAGATTTTACATGATGGAAACAATAAATCAACTGAATGTAATGTTTATTAATTAATGCGATCTTTAAATTTTTGTTRCTTCTAATTTATTTATAAATTTATAGCTCTATCGGTTAATTATTTGAAAAAAATAAAAGCTCAAGAGAAACTTCTAAAAAGCAAATCCAAAGATTCATTAAAAATGAATAATAAAGATCGTTTTGAAAATGACTACCAAGAAGGTGAGTAAAATATTTTTCTTTCCAATTTAATAATTATTAAATAAAACAATTTTTTGTTATTTAATTTTTGTATTGAATTTATTAGTCTTCATTTCCTGAAGATTATATTTAAAAAGTGTAATATTTTAGTAACAATGGCTTTTTTTAAGTTTCAGATGATAGATCTAATGAAAGTTGTATTACAAATCAAAGCAATCAAATCGAAGCTTGTAGTTCCTCAAGTTCATCTACATTAAAAAATGTTACAAATAAAAAAAATAAAGCTAATCATTGTGAAAGTGGAACTTCTGATGGTAGAGTTTATTTTTGTRTWGATCACTATTAGGTATAAACTAATTAATGATGATTTTAGGAGAAGATGATTTTAGGAGACTAAAAGCATCAACATCATCAGTGTCTAACAATAAGATAATATACAATGAAGATGGTAAATCAGCTGAGAGTATGGATCTTTTATTGATGATGATGATGATAATATTGATTATTTTATTAATACATGATATAATTTATAGGTATACCAGTGAATTATTTAAAAAAATCTAAAGCTTATAAAAAATGTCTTAAAAGAAACTCTAGAGATGATTTTATTACCATTAATAAAGATAACATTGTAACTAACTATCAACAAGGTAAGTAACAGTTTTCTTTTCTCAATTTAATACAATTAAATTTAAAACTATCATTTGGTTTTAATTTTTGTGATCATTTAATCTTAATTTAAATTTTATATTAACTTTACTTTAAGGATAACTTATTAAAGTTATTCCTTTAGTGATTATGTATGTTTTTTATTTTAAAATTGAATTGATCAGTTTTGAACATTTTCTATTTATTTCTGTTTCAGATATAGTATCAAATGAAAGTAATCAATCTGAAGTTTGCAGTTCGTCAATCTTAACAAATGTGACAACTAAAAAAAAGAAAACTAAAAACCATAAAAAATATGTTTCTGATGGTAATGTTGATTTATTAGTGATTATCATACATATTAATAAATTATGTTTTTTTAAGAAGAAGGTCGGAGAGGAAAAACATTAACTTCCGAGTCAGACAAAAAGATTAATTATGACAAAGAAAGAAAATCAACTGAAGGTAAGGATTATTTTAAAGTTTGTAATATTATGTTCCATAAAAGAACATTGTTGCTATTATTTGGGTATTTAGATTTGTTCAAAATTTCAAAATTTGTCATTTAAAAATCTAGTCTGGAATTTAAAGGACTACTCTTCCCCTCACTATTATATATTATATATTTTTAGAACTACCTGACTATGATATTATTGTTTTTATACTAATTTATTATAATATAACTTTATTTAGGTCTAGGAGTTAATTATTTAAAACAAATAAATTTGTATCAAAAACTTCTAAACAGCAAGTCTAGAGATGCAGTTTTAAATGATGAAAAAGATAATTTTGAAGATAACTACCAATTCAAAGGTGAATTATTATTATTTTTATTGCTATAGTAAAATTAAATAAAAACTTTAATCATTATTATTTTGTTTTTTTGTTTTTTTAATCTTGCTTTTACTTTAAACATTTCAAAGAATTGAAAGAGTTCAGATATAGAGTAAATATAATGGGGAGTATATGAAACTTAATAGTAAATTTCAAAAAAAAAATCTGATAAAATTTAATTTATCCAAAATTTTAGAATAATTAATTCCAAATCAAATTTTAGTCATCAATTCCAATTCTTTTCATAGTATCAATAATTATTTTGAATTGGAATCAATAATTTTCGAATCTGTAATAACCACCTTCAGAACARAACCGTTTAGAATCGAGAACAGAAAGTAATAATTGGGAGTCAAAATAACTTAAGTATACATAGTTGAAATAATTGAATGAATTAAAATAAATATAATTTATAAAATACTGGTTCTGATAATAGAAGCTACCAATTATTTTGATTCCAATGTACAATTGAAATTACTGATCCTACAACAATTGTAATCGACACATCCCTCATTTTAAATTAATTCAGTTTCAATAATTTTTTATTTTATGTTGTAATAATTTTATAATTTCAGATGAAAAATCTAATTATAGTCTTATTATGAATCAAAGTCATCAAATTGAAGATTATAGTTCTTCAAGTTCATCAATAACRAATGCCATAAATAAAAAAAAGAAAACTCAATATTGTGAAAGTGGAACATCTGATGGTATTGTTATTTTATTGATAATAGTTAGATATAAACTAATTTTTGTGACTTTCAGAACATTTTTCAAGATCAAAAGCATCAACATCAACTACAGAGCCCAATGATAAGATTAAACTTAATGGAATCAATGAATCAACCAAGTGTAATGATTTTTTATTGCTAATGATAATAAAATTATTATTAATACTAACTTTTGATATAATTTATAGTGCTACCTGTTAATTGTTTAAAAAAATTAAAAGTTCATGAAAAACTTCTAAAAAGCAAGTCTAAAGATTTGTTACAAATTGATAATAATGATTATTTTCATGCTGACWATCAGCTAGGCGAGTAACATTTTTTTCAACCCAATTATATAACATAAGATAAAATAACAACTTATCTTGTCAAGATTATGTTTTAGTTGGGAATGTAATATCTGATATGGTTGTTAGAAATTTTAATCTTAATTTTTAAATTGATGTAAATTTATAAAATTTGTTTAGTTTAATAATAATGTTTTTTATTTAATTTTCATATTATTGCAGTATTACAAATATTGTCAATTTAACTGTAAAATAATTTTTATTTCAGATGTAATATCTAACGAAAGTAATCAATCTGAAGCTTGCAGTTCATCAATCTCAGCTCACTCAACAGCTAAAGGAAAAAGAACTGAGGAACATAAAAATGTTATTTCTGATGGTACTTTTGATATATTATTAATGACTTTATTACACATATTAATAAATTATGTTCTTTAAGTAGGAGATAATTTTTGGAGAGGAAAAACAACAACCGAGTCAAATAATATGGTTATGTTTGTCAGAAGAAGTGAAGCAATTGAGCGTAAGAACAATTTATTAATGTTAATTATTTTTTTAAAATTAAATTAATGAACTATACTACCTTTAGGTCGTGGAGTTGATCACAAACACAAGTCAAAAGTGTTTAAAAAATATACAAAGAAAAAATCAAGTGATGTAGATTTAAATAGTGACAGCGAAGTTAATTTAGTTGGTGACTCTCTACTAGGTGATTTAAATTTGAAATAATTGTATTTAATTAATGACCACATTTTATTATATTCAATACTTGGCATTATTTAACTTTGTTCCAAATTGATTGTGAATTTAAATTTATATGATTTCATTTCAAATTTGTAAAGTTTACTGACTTTATTTATATGTTATTATTAGATGTATTGTTCAATTAGAATTATTATTATTATTATTATGTAATTTTGGAATTTAATAAAATTAAATTAATAACTTTAATATTGTTAAGTTTTTATCATATTTGTTATTACTTTATTTCATTTTGGATTGGTAAAGGTTTTTTATTTCTTCGATGMTATTTAAATATAGTACAGTTTAATGAAAATTATGTTATAAAACATTATTGTTTAATCACACTGTTTCACTGTATTATATAGAAATTTTATTTAATATTAATTAAAATATATTTATGCATATAAAGATGGAAATAATAATAAAGTTATTATTGTTTTAAAAGATTTTTTTTGTTTCAGATTTAACTTCCAATAGTCTTACTTTGAATAATAGTAATCTTTCTGATACTACTACTTCAACAATAGAAACAACTGTCTTAATCAATAAGAAGAAAATTAATAACAGTACAAATAAAGTTACTGATGGTAGGGTTAAATTTAGTCATTCTAAAATTACTTCACCTTTATTCATCTTTAATGATTTTAGGAGTTAATTGTGTCAAAGAAGTAAGAGAGCTTAAAGGTGATATTAAAAAGAAATCGCATGTGGTAGATATTCTCCCTGACAAAGATGATAAAGTGATTAATAACTATCAACCAAGTGAGTTCTAATTTAAATTATTTCTTTACATACATTCAAATAAAAAAATCAAATTAATACAATATACCAGGGGTGGCGGACTTACAGCTACGTCATAATCGTATGTGGCTTGCGTGTTATTAAAAAATATACTAATATTTACTTATTTACGATAAAATATGATAAAACAATAGAAGTTATAAAATGTAWTTATAAATATTTTGGCTCTTGATATCATTGTACTATATTATCCATCTGACTTGTGATTCATGCTGGTCACCCCTGCAATATACATATATATATAATATATATAAATATATTCACTCGCATATGTAGATGTGAACATAATATTATGGTATATTATTTATACATTATGGTTATTGTTACCTACTTTATAGTGTGTAGTTTATGATACAACAAAAAAGTATGACATTGAAAATATATTTAATTATACTATTTGTATTTTATTTTATTATTTTTATACATACATATAGGGTTTTTGTGTTATATTTGTATATTTTAATTTGAAACTTTGTTTTATTTATAAAACCATTTTTAATGTAATTATTTAGTAGAATTAAACGTAAAGTATACTTTTTATTTATTTGTTGAGCAGGTGCTTAACCAAGAAAAATGTTAGACATTAATGTTTAATGTTTAATAATTAATGATTATTATGATTTATAATGATTTTTCTTTAATGTTATTCCCTACCAGGAAAACCTGGTTAAATTACTATAAAAGTATCAAGTAATTCTGTGCTAATTTTATGCAATATTTTTATACTGGAGATGATTATATGTTAGTAAAAATGTATATTTTTTTAAATTGTTTCTTTCATGTTTTAGTTCCCAAATTAAATAATGGAAATTGGTCATGTGGAAGTGCAAGTTCATCAAATTCAGTAGSATTGTCAAATAATCAAATAGAATCTGATGATGATGCACATACTACAGATGGTTATTTTAATATTACATTAATACTTTTWTTTATTTATATATTTATTGATTAAAATATATTTTATTTGTTGACAGACGATGATCACTATGTTAAAAACAGAAAAATTTCTAAAAATAAACCTTTTGATGATGTAGACCGTGGTATTTTTGAAGCTTTTGGATATGAAAAACTATGTAAGTGTGCTATAAATTGATCAATTAATATTTATATGCTTAGTATTATTAAATGATTTAATAAATTGTTAGTCATAATCTATTTTACATTTTTTTTTCTTTGTTGGTCTTTTAAGCATTGGCTACTATTTACTGATTTACATTTTGTTTATATGCGTGTCTGGTTGGAGGGGGAGAGCTAGAGACTCTAGACCAGTGTTTCTTAACCTGTGTTCCGTGAAGGTCACTTACGGATTCAGCGAAAGTTTAAAATCGCAAAAGGGAGTCAGCCAAAGCCGGTACTCTAAAGATAATTTTCAAAGTGGTTCCGCAAGAAAAAATAAAATATTATTTGGTGTTCCGTGACATCAAAAAGGTTGAGAAACACTGCTCTAGACCATGTTAAATGCGTAAAACATAAGTTATTTTCACCAAACTCTGTGCTACACCAGGTCCTAGATCTCTTTCATCAATCCTTATATTATATACAAATTGTTAGAAACATTATTGTTATTCATCTATTTATTTTTTGTCTGTACGACTATAATCAAAAGCCATGTACCACTTATATTGTTATGAATGTTATGATGAAGAAATAGTCATTAAATGTGAATGTCATATTAGTTCAGAAAGCCGTTTCACAGATAATAATTACAGTTATTTTTACTGTGGTAAAACCAAATCCACAGCCCATGACATAAGTAAACTCCGAAAGATTTGAAGTCGTTGCTCTGGTAATTCTCTATCTTTTCCCCATTGTTTTTGTTGATGTTTGTAGGTAGCCTATACCTCTTAGTGGTTAATTATAATTGTTTCTGATTACCTTTAAATTTCTAGCACTTCTTAATTCAATAATGTCTGAAAAATTCAGCATCCTGTGCATCTTTAAACGCCAAGCGTTTCGTCATAAAATAATTCACAGACATTAAACACTATTTAAAATTTAGTGGATAGGTTTCAATTTGTATTCGTTTAGCTGTTGCATTTAAGATTTTGAGAGGAGCGATTAATGTTTTGATGATTTTACAATGATGTGTATTTTTTATTTGGTTTTGTTTTTTTGTGTTTGTGTACACGATAATTCGTCAAAATAATGCTTCGATTATCAACTTCAGTAGCTTTTCCAGTTGGAAAGTGAATCTAGTTTGTGCTTTGAGGAGGTCGAATTTTTAAATTCTCAGTAGTTTTCAAAAGCCTCGAGAAATACAAAACAAAAAAAAAAAARTTAAGAAAAACGGGAATTTTTACTCAAAATTAATTTTTGAGAAAATCGATTTTAGTTAATAGTGTGACTTTAAAACAAATTGCGGAAGAAACATAAATTTTTCACTGAATGTTTATGCTAGCATTTTCTATACTTGTTTTATACTTATTTTCAAAACATTTCAAATCTTTTTAAGATATTATTGGTTCAGGTAGATATGAAATATTTTCCAAAAAAAAAATATCCCACCTGAACAGAAAAATTTGGAGATTCATTGGACCATTTTAATGCACAAAAATACTTATATCTTGAAATCATATTTCCGATAGTAACGTAAGAATTAATTTTATATTCAATCAATTCATTGTAAGTAAATGCTGACATTAGACTTTGACGCCATGGAACACTTAGTTGAACTAAATGATCGTTAGCATCAAAATGATTATTATCATCATTATTACTATAATTACCATTGAACTTGCAACAAAATTTTCTTATAGCTTTATTGTTCGAACGACCCAAATTTATTTTTATTTTAATTTGGTATCAACCCAAATTTCTCTCGGTAAATTAATAAGTATTATTAGTAGTATATTGGGTGATTTTTTAAGCATCTTTATTCTAATTTTTCCCTTAAATAGTACATTTATTCAAATTCTGATTTTTAGAATTTATAACTAAACTAAAAGACTGTATTTTCAATTTTTTGATATTGGTTGTACTACTTAAAGAGAGAGTATCCTTTAGCGATACAAACTTCTATTTTTCAAATGAGTACCTACCTTTTTTTACTGAAAATAATAGTAATAATCTTTAAAAATTGTTTTATAAAACTAAAAAATATACGTAATGTTACTATGTTAGATGTAAAGTACCGCCAGCGAAAGAGAAGGTTCTAGCGAACCAGACAAAATTTTTATGTCAACTAGAAGTTTTAAAAGTATTATTTATTAAATTAATAGCTGATGCAGCTGTGTTTCAGCTGTTTTATTAAGAATTTTGTGTATATTTTAAGGTTATATATTATATTTAAATTTAAGGTTACATCATATACTGTATTATCGTATAAGGTATATCATGCCGGAAATTTTCTACCAGGCGCGTCACGGTCATCCGCTTAGTTTCACTGGCCGTACTATAGTATTTATAGTATTTGTGATACTTTGATCATTTTTACAAATTATTTATATTGATAAATAAATAGTAATTGCTAACTTTTTCAAATCATCGAAGTCCCTATCTATTTTACTCCTTAGCCATTACCATAGACATATTATCCTTAAAACATAAAATCACATAATTCAATAACTGCTAGCTTTAATTTTGATTTAGATACATCAAAATTCTCCAAATAAAATTTGCTTATTATTCAAAATGAAAAAGAGATGCTCCTGTTTGAAAAACTGAAGTGTGTATTATCATAGGATCATTCTTAAGTGGTATAAAAAAATTAATGGTTTGAAAAATAGTCTTCAAGTGTATTTAAAAATTCCAAAAATCTGAATTATTATTAATGAATTAACATGTGATTTTTTCGAGTTAAAAAAAATGTGCACTATAACATCAGTGATGTTCAGTTATGTTGTTGAAAGTTTAAAATAAATTATCTTTAATTTTATATGAATTGTTATATTTATTTTTATACGTATAGCATAGCAATGAACCAAAATAAACTTTAAAATAAGGGCTAGGTATTTGTGGCAATACTGTTTAGCTGAATTATATTTGACAGATATTATAAAGCTGTTTGAGGAGAATTCCTTTCTTTTTATCTTGTGCTGATATAATAATGTAAGATTTAGTCTATTTAAGTTATAATTAGTAGTTAGCACAACCAACCATGATTTAAGATATACATTTGAATTACAAATTATACCACCAAGTAATACTGGATAGTTGATACTTAGATAGTGATATGTGTTATTATATGATAGTGTCTGTTATGTAGGTTGTTGTTCAATTTGTATTTCTCAAATCACAATTATATGACTATCACTTTAATCATTCGTAACAATCCCCCTGATTTTTTGTTTAGTGTTATCATATTTACAGGCACGAACTCAAAAATTATGTATTTTTTTTAGGAAGTGGGGTCAAGTGGGTCAGGTTATATTTTTTCATATTTATATAATCTAACCTTAAAATAAGATTATACAATTTGATCGTGCACTAAACGAAAATGTAATTCATATTACGATGGCAATTCGAGTTTCGTGGTAACTCTAAATTAAAACTTTTAATGCTATCAATAAAACTACCGATATATTAATCTTCCTTATTGATAACAACCACTTTCMCTCTATAAAAATATATTTAATATTTCTCCTGAAATTTCAAAGCGGGTATGAACCCCTAAAATCACCCTTGTTTACGCGCCTGCATATCCAATATGTAGAAATATTGAAATGGAAAATATTTATTTATTTATAAGATTGGGATTTTTTTTAACCATTAATTTAAATAGAATAATGTAAGTTAAATTTAAAGTTGCTTTTCTTTATTAATTGGCAAAAGTTACAACTTACGGTGATAAAATGGAAACTTAACCTTGTTCAAATTCTATTTTTTTTCTGAATATTTTCAATCTGTAAAAATACAATAAATTAATTCACTAAATGTATATATTATCCATAAAAACAATAATATATATTATATACCGGTTAATTCACCAAGCATGCTCACCCTTTTTTCTTTAATAATGAAGTTATTCAAAATCTGATTTTTACTCAAAGACTATATTTTCAAATTCTTGGGATGTTTTGTACTTAAAAACTTAAGGAGTATCCTGTGGTGATACGAACTTTTGATTTTRAACAGATTTGAACAGAAGAGAATTTAATAAGAACAGTAATATTGATTTTTTAATGTAAATTGTTTAGCGGATATTTTTTTGAGAATTTTGTTGTATTGAAATAAAAATTTTAACGAGTAGTTTCCTAGTATTAAAATGTTTGTACTAAAAAAAAAATGATCCTTAAAAATCGTTTGCATAAGTATAAAATACACGTACTATTAGAACTAGACAACTAGTATTTATGATACTTAGTTGTTTTTAAAAATTATTTTTGTTGATAGATTATTAATGGTTAATATTTTCAAATCTACCATACGCCACATATCTTCTACTCCTAAACCATGGATCTTTTATCCTTAGAACACAAAGTTATATAACTCATAAAATACTCATTAGAATTTTGATTTCAATACATCAAAATTCTTCAAACAATATTCGCTAAATAATTTACATTAAAAAATTGGGGTCTTCATTTGAAAAACAAAAAATCGTATCGACACGGGACACTTCTTAACTAGTACAAAAAATATCAAGAATTTTAAAACATGATCTCTCAGTATACCTAAAGATTTCAAAAGTTATATTTTGAATAACTTCATTATTAAAGAAAAAAGGGGGTGAGCATACTTGGTGAATCACACTGTATAAATATTTATCGTCAGAAACTATACTAGTATTTATTTGTTTAGATTCAAGAGCTGCAAAGGTAAAAGCTAATGAAGCCATATCGTTGATGAGTAAGCCACTCATCAACAAGGATAAGAAAAATGATGTTGTAAAACGATCTAAGAATGGCAAGAAGAACAATGAAGTGAGTTTATATGACAATAGTTTGTAATAGGGGTTTACAACCTTTTGAGTACACGGCTCTTTCGATTTTTAATACAATTGTGTATAAATAAATTGTCAAATGTAGGTTCGTACATTATTATTACTATGTTACTAATTACTATATTACTTTACTCAGTAGTGGATCTGAAGATCATTTGAGGATGGGGCGAATTGATATCATAAATTGATAGGTACTAACATAAACGTAACTGAATACACTTTTCCGATTTTCTTATTTAAAAAAAATAAGTACCTTTTTTGTATCATTTATTTATAAGTTTGAAGTTATAGTTATGACTTACAATTTCATGTTCATTTTACTATATGGCGCTATAATTCAAATAAAAACAAAAGTCCTAGGAAAGGATATTCGTCACGTCGACCCCCCTCAAATCCGCCACTGACTTTAGTATGCTATTGCTTATATATATATAACTTATTCAGTCCGTTCTATGGTAAGTTGGTAATGACTCAAATGTTAATAATAATAATATATTATGATATAAAAATATACTATTATAACAATTAAGAATTAATAATATAATAAACTCAATTTTTTCTGAAAACTTGCCGTATTACTAATAATGAAATAAATTAATATGATAGCAATTTAAATATATCGAAAAATATACTTAGTAATATAGGATGATAGCCAAAACCATTTTTGAATTTTTGTATGTAATGATATATTATTGAGTTCAAGTTTAACACTTAAATTACACTATTTAGACACGGCTATAAATAGTTCTATCTATAATCGTGCTATCAGATCTTAGAATTATAGTTTATCAGGCACTTATCCCTAAATTTCACGGGGAAAAAATAGTATTGTACAAGCGTAAAATCATTCAGCAGATTAACATCAATATAAATATTTATAATAATTGGTTGTAGCCAATCTCTTATATAATAAAACGAAAATCGTTCTCCACCGGGTGTCACCTACCTATAAGGAACTCCTGGAAGAAACTGCAGATTCTTCCAAGAGTTTCTAAGTGTGACCAACCTCATAGCGGCAGCTGAGCTATTTCGTTTTTTTCCTTATCAATCTATATCTATCTATACTATTATATAAAATTGTAAGGGTTTTTCTTAGACCGCGCTAACCGAGAAAACTACTGAACCGAT